AACATTAATAATATCAAAATTAAAAATAAAAAATCTTCAGTTGTTGCAGATGAGAATGAAAATACTTAAATTGAGCCAGAACATCTAGACTCGATCGATTTTTACATAGAAATAAATATTTTGAACGTTATCATTATCTTATAATTAAGAAAATAATATTTTTATTCGTAATTTGATTTATATGAAATTTATGTGAATATTTTTAGATTTATGTGTCCTATTAGTAAAATATTTTATGTAATCATATTGTATGTAGACATAACTAGAAAAGTACTATTGCAAATACAAAATTCATCGAAACCCAATAAAATTTTTCATGAAGATACAAAAAAGTTTTCAAAATACAAACAAATAAAATCAAACCGCCGATAACACACGTTAAATAAGATACGTTACAATTTTATAGTGAAACAAACGCGTGAGTAGAATAGCTGAAAACTCACAGGTGTACTCGTTATTATTCTTGTACGGCAATTTTGTTTACTCGAATAAAGAGAATGGAGAACAAGTTCCCATACGCAATTTTGTAAGAGTATATGTTTGTATTTGAGTGTGTGAAACCAACTAGAGATTCTTCAGTTGTTCTCAGAAAATTCAAGCGAGAAAATGGTAAGTGGAAAAAAAAAGCCGAATTCGAATGGGAAAAGGGATGCAGAAAAGCTTGGCAAAGTTGTTGATTAAATAAAACAAAAAGTTATTTCAATTGTTTAGATCGAAGGCGTCGAAAGACTTGTGGTTGGTAAATGAGAGATATAAAAAACAAAAAGAGCAAAAAAAGAAAGAAACTCTTCATTAAGTTTACATACTCTTTTTTTTTTTTTAGACAATATTTATTTTTTTTCCTCAAAAATTGGTAGACTTTGTTAAAACAACATAAGTTTCTTCAATACAATTGTTGTTGCATTTCATATCTCAGCTTAAACAAAGTGTGATATTAGTCCTTTGTGCAATCGAGTCTATAGAACAAAAAGTTATAAAAAATATAATTGAATTCAACAGACCTTTAAAAAAGTTTGACACGCGTAAACTTTGAATACATTGATGTTTCTTCAGTAAAATTCTTTTACAATAAAAACGTGTACAATGTATAATAAAAAGATACTCAAGATATGATACATAGCATCTTGTATCATTTAAATATCATTTAAAATGAGCCTATTACACGTATGATGCCAACGTTGATCCTTCATTTCTTCTTTGCCTATAATTAACTGAATAGCTGTTAATTTATTATTTATCATATTTGTACAATTAATGTATAACTGATATGTATAATGTGTATATATGTTCAAAGGGTTTATCCCGTATATAATAAAAATAAAATATATTTACATGAGATAAATTTGCAAAACACATAAAACAAACTCAGTTATTAATTAAAAATAATAATTCCTAACTCTATGCTTATAGTAGTATCATGCAAACGCTTATGTGAATAAGGTAATAATCTCGATAGCTTTTAATCCAAAATCGAATTTGTGCTTCGTGTGACTAATAGAAGGTGTCAAGTTCATAATGATAAAACGTTTTCTTTACGGTGTAAAGGGAGCAATCAACTAAGCTCAATGGTTTTCATTAATCTGTGATTCGATCGCATGAACGTCAACCGTATTTGTCACAGTTGCAGCATTGCTGTGACCTCTTCCATCTTTGTATTACCGTTACTCAGGGTATGAGATTTTAACAAATATCGACCTTCACTGTGTTAAACCTCTTATATACTCAATATCCGTCGTTAGGATTCATGATCATATCGTAGAAACAAAGAGGAATTGCAATTTATTGGCTTGTTTATGCGAAGGAAAAAAACCAATTTTAAAATTTTCATACAATAGAAGGGTAAAGGTTTGTAAAAGCACTAAGCCTAACAATTTCACGGATCGGACACCTTGAATTTAATTTATTTTCGATTCCAACATAATAATAATATTAATAGTCCTGTGTAAAAATAAATACATTTTTAATTCATCGGAGTAAAATTTATTATTCTATATTCAATTAAACAATTTTGAGCAATAGATTTTTCATACTTAATACTGTTATGAAATTCGTGTCGAATACGAGTGTTTTTAATTTTTAATTTCTCCAGCCATTTTAACAACTTACCATTTTTATTAATAAAAATCAATAAAAAAATTGCAGTTATTGTTAAAAAATTATACTTCAACGTGTAATATTTGAGTCACATTACCACCCCCGTAACATATAGGGGAGAGGTGGGTATTACCGCGCAGCTGAGAATTCCACGCATCAGCATATCTCAAAAACTATACATAAGTTACGCCAATGTCTAAGCTGACATGCAGACCCCTCCTCGCGAACAGCATCAACTGGTTAGGAGAGTTAACGGAGGATGCTACTTAAAAATTATTATTGAAAAAAAGGTCCCACAATTTTAAAAACATTATTCAATCAGCAAAAATAAATTTTTCACGCCCCTATTTTAAACTTTAAGTCTGCGTCCACTACATGATCATGGTCAAACGTCGCATTTTCTCGCATGTACTCATCAGATGTCAACTGAAGGATATAACTACGACAATTCCTTCTTCTGATCTCAGGACCATAGAACACCGTCGACTTTTTATCAGCATCGAAATATCTGTAGTTTACCACTAAATAAATATAAATAATCGTGCTTTTTAAGCAACCAATAAAAAAATAATAATAATTAGATGAACTGTTTAAATCCTTTGTGGGAATACATCATCTGTGCTGATTTCATAATGAAGTCACCTTTTCCCTACTTCAAAACTTTTGGGCACTTATTTGAAAAGTAAACCGTAAAACTAAAAAAATATTATTCTTTAATAACAAATTGATTTTAAACAAAGTACCTCAATTAAATAATCTGAGATTATTAATTCTAGCTACCACCAGCATTTAGGGAACCATAAAACTCTTAAAAAACAATTATTTAAGCTAATTTATAGAGTTATTTGAAATAGAAGCATCGAAATAGTATGTATTATATTGGATAATGGAATTGGTCTAGTTACTGAATATTCCCTAAAGAATGATCACCATAGGTATTAATTGAATTTTAGCCTTAAATAAAAAATTTAGCGATTTTAATACATTAAGCCAGTCAACAAAGGAAAAATGGCGAAAAAAATTCCCAACCAAATTTTTTTTTTTTAAACACTACACTTTAATGATACAATAAATAAATAAACTCACACATACACATATATGCATTTATAACATTGTGTCTAATGTAAGTATAATATGATAAAAAGTAACCGTAAAATGGAAAATAAATTTTAGTACTCATATTAAATGTAATGTAACTCGAAAAATATTTGTTTAAATAAAAAAATAGAAGATATATTTTTATTTAAAATTGTCTTTTAAACAACTTTTGTACGAAACTTTTTTTTTGTAAATTAAATATTTTTTGAGAAAATTAAAAAAGCTCATATTTTTGAAATTTTGAAAAGCTGCAAAAAAAAAAAAACTCAATTCCAATCGATGAGGACTTTTAGTATGTAATTATACATATCTTAATTCAACTTTTATAAAGATAAAAATATAAAAAATAAAATCGAGAATTTTCACACGAAAATAGTATTTGGTAGCCATTTTCACCGTGAAAACAAAATAAAGTCTACAATTTTTTTTTTTCATAATAAAGTATATAACATTAGCTTTAATTTAAGATATATATAAAAGTATTTCTGGAACACTTTCAAAAGTTAAGTTGAAAAAGTTAAATTTTTGTGAAAAAGTTGTAATTTTAAATCCCCCCCTGTGGGCAGATAAAGGGTCAGATTTATAAAAAAAAATATACCAAATGATAGGTAAAGATATCAAGCATCTATAAAAAAAAAATTACTGATCCATACATTTTCCAAAAGTTATAGCATTAAGTTAAAAATATAAAAAAGTATTATTTTACATAAATCGTATTTTTTTTATTAAGTTTGATGTATATTTTCACCACAAAGACAAGTCTAGAGGTCAATTTTTTTTTGCCCATAATAAAGTATATTACATTACCTTTAATTTAAGATATATATATATAAAAGTGTCAGACCTTCCGGAACACTTTCAAAAGTTATGTTGAAAAAGTTCTACTTTCTATATGCACTTTTCAGATTTGAACACACTCCGTATATAAGGAAATAGTCTAATTTAAAAAAAAAGTATGACGAATGAAAGATATATAAATACTACTTCTCATGAAAAAATTAAATTGATACATACATTTTTTAAAAAGTTATAGCATTTTAAAGTAAAATATAAAATAGAGAATTTTCACACAAAACTAGCATTCGGTAGCCATTTTCACCATGAAGACAAGTCCAGAGGTCAAATTTTTTTATTCATGATAAACTATATTACATTAGCTTTAATTTAAGATATATATAAAAGTGACAGACTTTCCGGGACACTTTCAAAAGTTAAATTGAAAAAGTTAATTTTTGTGAAAAAGATGTCATTTTAAATCCCCCTGTGGGCAGGTAAAGGGTTAAATTTATGAAAAAAATATACCAAATGATAAGTAAAGACATCAAGCAACTATAAAAAAAAATTATGTTGATATGTTCATTTTTGAAAAAGTTATGGTAGTTTTTAGTAAAAAAAATTTCGAAAATTAGCGGTTTTTAAATTTGTAATTTTTTTGGAGGTTTTCCCCATTTACGGGGAACGAGGGAAATTTTTTCAATTTTAATGGTAAAGTCTTCGACTAGATACGATTTGTGATCTTTTGACGTAGCGTTAAAGAAATCTGTTTGGTGACAGCTAAGAAAAATGGTAACAGACACACAAAAAAAAAACACATGTACTTTTAGATAATTTTTTTTTAACAAATGCTTGATGAGTTTTATATTTTTTATTGTAATAAAAAATATTAATTATATATGAGGACTATTGATTTAAAAATTAAATAAGAGGTACAAAGTTAATAAGATGAAATCAGCTTATATAGATGTTATCAATGGAGTTAATATATTTAGATAAAGATATGATTTCATGGTGAAAATAAATGCTTATAATATTCACTTTTGTATTTTATTTATTTCTAAATTAATAGAAATAGTTAACAAAATTAACATTTTTTAATTTATATTTATGCTGTATTTTTATATTATATCTTCAGATGTTGAGAAGTGTAGGCAGTCAGATTTTTTTTCAAAATTAAATCATAAAAGTATATCCTGGAAAAAAAGGTGTTTTGACTGTAAGATAATCTTTTAAATTATTTTACGGGTTTCATCTGCCATAGTCCATCATTAAGATAATGACAGTTTTCAATTCCTACTCCTTTGTTCACTTTTAATCTGAAAATATTAATTTATAATCATTTAAAAATAAAATTATAATGAACTAAAAAGCCTTTTAAATAATTCAGTTTACATAATTAATCACTTACATATCATCAGTTGATAAGCTAGTAATTCCAATTGCAAGTGCATGTTGTTTTCCTTCTGCCATTACTGCCTGTGATAATATTAGTTAAGGACATACTACTCAAAATGCCTAGTATATAAGGACTTTAAAAATTAGAAAATATAAAAAAATAATAATAAATTATAATCAAATTTGAATTTAATATCCTAAGTTTTTTTAAAAAGAGGCATTTAGAATAGGAATATAAAATACATACAAAAAAAACATTTATTTTTTGGATAAGACATTTTTGGATCAGTGAGGTTCATGTATGAAATTATTTATTAAATTAATGTTGATTTTTGATTAGTATATTTAATATTTAATTGAAAAGTATTAATATAGATTTTTTATAAATTGAAGACTAATTACCAACGGGACTACTAATTCATTAATAATTAAATGTTGTTCATTTTTAACATATAATATGATTTATTATTTATTTAATTAAATTATAAATAATTATTTTTACAATAAATGTAATTATTTATAAAGGATACAACAATTGTGTTTTGAGGTACAGGCTCTATTTTAGCTCCAGGTGATGTTAAACCAGGACACATAATATTAGCTCCACTCATTACAAATTTAATAGCTCCTAGATCAACTTGTTCTTTAGGAAGAAAGAATGGATCTAAAATGTAATTTTATATTATTAAAACAATAAATTAATTATTATAAAATGTATATACCATAATAATAATAATAATAATAATAATAAATACTATTAATAGTAATAAATTATAATAACATACACTCACATTTTTCTTAAAACAAAAAATTGTTGTTTTAAATTAATTCAAAAAGCATAGTTAAGTTTTATTGAGAGATAAAAATAAAATAAAAGGAAAAAATGATAAAAATTTAATATTTAATATAATTAATATGTATAATTGAATTTTAGAGAAAGAAATTGGACAACCAACTGTTTTAATTATACTAAATCATAATTGCAATAAATTTAAAATTGTGAAATTCCATGCCATTTCTATAATTTTCCAATAAGTTTAAAAAAAAATTCAATACCATTTTTAAAATTATTAGGCATACAATATTTATGTATGAGTATGTGATTTCATCAACCCCCAATATTTTTAATGTTATTTTAAATAGATGCAACTAGGAGGGTTAGAGAGTGCAACTCTAAAAATGCTTAAAAATTACTCAGATAACAGTCTCAATAAATGATAGGTTTAATCAATTTTTAAAAATCTAGACAAAATAATTAAATTTTTTGACATTTACAAGTTTCTAGACTTGTAACAACCATGTAAATCTATGAAACTTAAAAATTAATTTTTATTTAATTATTTTCAATTATCATTTAGTGACCCGAAAAATTAAATATCATATACATAGATATTCATTTAACACTAGCCACTAAATTTCTATTAAAATAATAATTATGTTAGGAAAATTTTTTTTTGGTATTTTTTAGTGTTATAAAAAGATATTGATTTATGAGTTATTAATTAAGTTTTTAATTCATCCCTAACACCTTATAAGAGTATCAATGTTATATTTTCAAATGGAAACGTATATATTTAATTAGTTTAGAAAATAAAAAATGAACTAATTAAGAAATTGACTTGTTGAGAACAAATATTGATAACTTTTTTAGAAGTTATCTCTTTTTTTAAATACTGACTTACAGTATGGTGCGTGATATTTATCATTAGACAGTTCTCAGCAACAATCCTCCTCCTATCTAGGTACAAAAATATTAAGAACTTTCAAAGTATTAATCCAAAAACTGTTATAAACCTGCCATTTTCTTTATTAGATCAATTACTATTTTAAAAACTAGTAAAAATATATGTTACAATTTAAAAAAATAAAGTTGACACCCTTATAGGAATGAAATAGTTGAAAAAGTACTTAAAAACTGATAGGTCAAGAAATATATGACACTAAAAAATACCAAAAATAATTTTCTTAACATAATTATTATTTTAAGAAAAATTGATTAGCTAGTACTACAAAATTTATCTGTTCATGGATTATTTTATGATGAACCACTTATTTAATCAATAATACTATTGATAATTATTTTTTGTATTTATTATTTCATATTAATCATATTGCTCATTTACATTATTTTGATTAATAGGTTTATTTATGAAATATAGACATAATTGTAAAATATCCCTTTAAGTTGCCATCTATTCTGATCAAATTAGTTATTCACATAGTTTAAGTGCACCATTTTTCTGAATTCATAGTGTCTACATAGTAGCTAATTAATTGATTTTGCCTTATGTATAAATTTTAAATTTAATAGAATAATATTTCAATAAACATAAAAACAGTCTATAAAAAAGATGTTAAAGTAAGACTAAAAGCAATGGTTATTTACATTTATGAAGAAGTTTTAAGGTGGGCAACCATGGTCCATTTCTATGTCGAAAAAATAAACAATCTCCAGCTGAATTCACAATAATTTCTAAATGATCTTGACTGAAAAATTTACACAAAAGTAAAATTTTTAATAATATTATAACTTTATATTGTTTAAAAGCATACTTTTTTAATGGGACAAAATGTTATAAATGAATCAATTTTTTTTTTTATTATTAATAAAGTGCATGAAATAATTATTTGAATTTAAAAAAGTTTGCAAATTCCAAACATTATTTATAAACTTTGTTTAAGTTTTAATTTTATTAGAAATTATTGAAATACATACTATAAATAATACTAGAAATATATACTTTCTAGAATTTGTATATATTATTCTTCAAAGTATACAATATGATTTTTCATAAAAATGTACAAATTATAATTTGATTTATTTATATAAACCATAGTAAATATGAAGTTTATTGTAAGAAAAATTATTTCTTACTGTAGATTTTAGAGGTAATTTTCAAAAGTTAAATGGGAACCTATTATTATTTTTTATTTTTATTGTTTATTTCATTACTATTAAATGAACAAGGGTTTAAAGAAAATATGGACTGATTGATAACCAGATTTGTATTATAATTTTGAGATATTAGCATCCAAAATTTAGTGAGGAGAGAGGTAGTGTTAAGTAACTCTCTATTGTATCTATGTCACGTGTATGATAACAATTACAGTTACTTTAATACGTAATAATTTGATTGCAGTAAGTTATTATATGGTATTATAGTACTTATAGAAAATACAATATCATGATAAATAATATGATTTTATTTTTCATTATGTTAGAACGATATTCTTTATCAAGTAAATTTTGTAGGAAATAAAATTAAATTTCAACAATTTTTATCAAAAATAAAATTTATAAAATAGAATTATGAACAATTTTTGTATGAAACACTTTTTTGTATAACAAACGATTAATCAAATAAATTCATGTTAATAAAATAACCTATCTTTTTCATATATATAAAAAAATGTATATAATTACATTTTATGGAAAAATAATAAATTAAAAAAAACTTGTTAATATTTTTTTAATTTGTATCATACAAGTCTTCGTTTTTAAAATAAACAAAAAAAACTAAAAATCTACCCTCCAAGTTCAATTTTCAACTCTCTTGATTAGGGTTATGATGGTTAAATTCAAAAGTTAATAATTAAACCCACCCTAATATATATATATATATATATATGCATACATACACAATACACATATGGTGAGATCAAAAATTTCATTAAAAATATCTCCATTATATTTGTAACATCAATTTTATATTACGCTGTATAAAGATAAATTTTAAATGAATTTAAAAAAGAAATTTTAATAATACTCTTATATTTATAGATATTTACCATTTTACAATTCTTAATGCATCTTTTTTAGGCAAAATCTGATCTATATATTCTTCTAAAGAAGAATACTGTTCAATTATTTTTGTTCTAATACCTTTTTGGACAGATGATTTTAATTGTTGAATTCCTATAACACTTTCTTTGTCATCAAATCTATAAAATATATTGTGTCCTTGTTATTAATGGTAAAAATATTAAACATATTTTGAAAAATTCATAATTTATTAAATTTGAAAATACAAAAAAAAAACTATACTAAATTTTTTTTCTCTCATAATTCAATGACATTTTGAAAATTATGCCTTATAAAACGACTCTTTTAAATAGCTATTATACAAATTTTATCATTACTTTTGTTCCTCTGAAAAAAAAACTTCTCTATTTCTAGAGACAATGAATAACATGTTGCTATTGTAATTTTTTTTAAAATTAATTTAAGAAATATTATTTTGTTAAACTTCTCATATGTACTTCTCTATTTTGTTATTAAAGATAAATTTGAATAAATTATGTCGTATAATGATGTTATTTTTAAATATAAGATCTAAATCAAAAATGTTTTGTATATTATATGTCTAATAAAGTAATATATTTTTTAATATTTTAATTAGAAAATATAAAGTATGAAGAAAATATAAAATAAAAACTCATTTTGACTTACTTTTTGAACATTTTAACTTCTACTAAATCAAGTTTAATCAATTATTTTAGTTTTATAATATAAAAATGTAGCACAGACTCAATCGTATTAAGTTTGTTATAAATTCTACAATTAAATCTGTTTTTAACAGTTTACTTTATTAAAAAACACATTGATAGTTCATTATCAGGTATACCTTCATAATACCACGATTTAAATACTATACCTCAACCAAGTTAATTTTTACAAAGTGGTGATACGTTGGTATCTGGATTTTGCAATACTTTACGTGGGCGTCATTATCAGCAACTTGTCGTCATAATAGTTATCAGTTAATTTTTTTTTAACATACCGAAGTAAAATTTTGCTGTTTAAGAGTCCACTTGACCCATTAAAAATTTCTAGGTCGTGTATTTTCTTTTAAATAGCCATTTCTTAGGTAAAACTTGTGTAAATATATTTTATTACTTAATATTTCTTATGATTTAGATTCTTGTGCCTTAAAAGAAATTAGCGTAGTCAATCGTATTCGAGTAAAACCCTGAATTATTGAGCTGGTAAGTTTTTTTAGTAATATGAACTGCTTATAATACAAAAATAAATTCCAAATAATAACAGTTATTTTTTGTTTTGTTTACATAACTACAGTTTTGTCTGCAATTATAATATTTTCCATATTTGATAGAGCTTTTTTTTGATTATTTTATGACATGTTTCAATCAAATAACGAATAATAATTTTTGATATTAAACAATTTATTAATAAATATAAGTAAAGTGGTTTACTTATTTTTTATTCACTTATTTGATAATTAGTTCAATATTTTAATTATAACTATGATAACTTTCATAGACATATAAATGAATGAACTAGAGGCAAGTGTTAATTCGTGAAGCCAACATCACTTACTTAAAAGAGGATTTGCCAAAGACATTTCATATGTTATCGTACAATTTTAAGATGTTCATTGTATAAATTTCAAATTATTACATATAGTAAATGCAAAATAAGCAAGTGTTTATGAAATATCTAATCATATAACTTGTTTTGACTACAATGTAATATACATAATGTCTATCGGTTATGGTCCATTAATTTATATGTCTATGGTAATTTTAGAAGCCTTATCACTATACAAATTTGTCATTTTTATGTTTTTAAAGATTTACACAAGTGTATTTATTGAATAATACATTATTTTTCTTCATTTTTGCAGCTATAATGGCGACAACTTTAAAACCATATTTATCTGTAGTAAAACATACATTAGATGCTGCCATATGTATAAGTCAATTTTACTCACAAGTTGTTGAGCGTCATAGTAAACCAGAAATTGAAATGCAAACTAATAGAGAATTAATTTTGACACCAGTACTAATAAGTCGCAATGAACGTGAACGTGTATATATTGAAAGCTCAATTAATTCTATACGTGTTAGTATAGCTATAAAACAATGTGATGAAATAGAAAGATTACTTTGTGATAAGTTTACTAGATTTATGATGAAAAGGGCTGAGAACTTTTTCATTTTAAGAAGGAAACCTATTGCTGGTTATGATATTACATTTTTAATTACCAATGTTCACGTAGAACAAATGTACAGGAACAAATTGATTGATTTCATAATACGATTTATGGAAGAAATTGATAAAGAGATAAGTGAAATGAAGTTGGCTATAAATGCAAGAGCACGTATTTGCTCAGAAGAATTTTTGAAACATTTTTAATTAAAAATTGTAAATTTTTTTTTTATAAAATAATTTTTGATACTATAAAACGTTGTAAACAAACCTATATTTGTAGTTATAATAAGTTTAAGCTATAAATAATATAATAATATCTAAAAAAAATTACTGAAAAGAATTAGTCAATTATAAATAATTATTTTAGACATTTTCTTTTTATGTTCATTTGCTTTGTTATAATAATTTTATAACTTAATAATTTTTAACTACTTCTGATGTATAATTTATGATGATTTAAATATAAAAATTTTGGTTTAAATAATAACCTAGCTATTAATAAATTAATTTTTGTTAATGTTATGTTTTTTAATTTAATTTATTTTTAAATTAGTAGTATCCCACACATTGGGGTAAATATTACCCTTTGGATTTATTTTTTTTATTTTAATTTTAAAATAAGCATTTATTTTTACAATTTTATGTATTTTATTATATAAATATTTTCAATTTTGTTATTTTATATTCAGTATTTTAATATTATTTTAAACTATCATAATTTATTGTTACAATACCATTCTTTAAAATACCGAACTGAAAAAATTAAATTTTTATTAATTTAAAGAATATTATTTATACTTAATATCTGAGTTGACTTTGCCAATTAGGTTCATAGTTAATATTTTATTTATTATGTTAAGTTTACCATTCATTTTATGAACTGTTTAATCTAGTTGATATTTTTAATTGAAATTAGTATTGAATATGATAACAGTTCAATAATAACAAAGTTTTGATCAAAAACAAAATTAACTTAATAAAAAATGGTTTCAATTTTTTTAAATATAATAAATTTCAATTATATTATTACTAAAAACTGAATTAGTTTTGAAATTTAAATTAATATAATTCATACGTATTTTTTTTACTTATCTATAGTTTTTATCTATAAGCTTCATTTATAATAGTTACACCTTCTATTAAATAAAAATACAGTTCATGACTAACAACACAAGGGCTATTTTAAGCTTCAGAATGCTAAAAAATTGTAATTTTGTATTATTACTGATTTAAAATTTGTAATTTAATAAGTGTTAAAACATGTAATTTTACATATCTTATATTACAATATCTTTAATAATGATGAAAAATTAATAATATCCTCATTAATGATATTAATGATCTGGCAAACTAATATGATTTTAAGTCCACTTTCGGTAAACATTATCATTACAATAATATTATTTGAAAACAATATTTGACATTTATTTTTTAAGAGACATAAATAATGAACTTATGTTTTGATATATTTAGTTTGACCCAAATTAAAATAATTTTTTATAACTATTTTAAGGACATTTGTGATTTAAACCATAAGTAGTACTAAGAAAAACTACTGTTGATCTTGATCTGTAGAAATATTGGACTAATACTAGCAAGTATAAGACTAAAATATTAAATTCAAAATTACAATTTAAATTATACGTGCAAATACAAGACATGAATTATTTTTACTGATTATTGAAAATATGAAAATCCTATAACCAATGAGTTTAATATATTTTTTTAACGGTATATTTTGTTACCGATTCACTTTAGTTTTAATTGATAAAAAGGTGGGCAAGGACTACTAGGCTATACTTATAAACGTTCAAAGAGTCCTGTCTTTCTGACAAAATTAAGTATCTCTTTGGGTTTTAAGTTTTTGATATCTTCTTTTTCGAGAAAAGATTTTCCCAAGTGTTTAGATCTTAATGTGGCTAGGGTAATACATTCACACTCAATGTGAAATGAATCTTCCTCTTTTATTCCTCACTTCCTGTATTGTGGTGATTCTGCCACCCTCACTGATGTTTAAACAGATAACCGTGTCCTGTTAGTAGTTTAGTCGGAGTGCTTATTAGTTGACTAGTCATATTATTAAGATCCCTTAGTAGTAGATCAATAGTCTTAATAAATATTTTTGATTGTCTGGGGGTAACCATCTTTTTTTATATTGTTTTCTACATTAGTTTATGGGTAGTACTTAGAGGGATTGCTTCATGATTCCTACCAATATATATTTTTTTGCTTCTTTAAATCATTTAATAAATGATAATATAAATAATTATAATTATAAAATTTACTAACTGCATATTAATCTTAACAATAATATTTTTTTTATTTTCATAAAATTGAGATGGAACTGATAGTTTAAGGTCACAAGGAAATACAATTTTTTCAGTGATGGAGAAAAACATGAAAGGGGAGTAGGCTTCGTTACTAAAGACAAAGTTTAACAAGATATTGTCAAGTTTGAACCAATAAGTGATAGAATATGTTATGTGAAGTTTAAATGCAGATGGTTTAATATTATAATAGTAAATTGATACGCACCTATAGAGGATAAAAATGAAGAAGTAAAATAAATCAGTCTTTTTCACAAATCAATTTCAGTAGTCAATATAATCAAACAAACCCAGCACAGTGGGGATGTGACATAGTTGGGTCAAGTATAAAGATATCTTTTTTTTTTTTTTGACCGGCTTATTGTGAGCCGCCCTGGAACTGCTATTAGGCATTACTTCAAGGCGGCCCACGGCGTCTTAATAATTCACACCACCACGTTGTGAATCAGTTTGAAATTAATCAAGAGCTGATTCGCAACGTGGTGTGGACCCCTCCCTTTAACCGGATCCCAAAGTAGGAACCGTTAAGGAGGGTTAGCAAAATAACTTACAAACAAAAATAAGAATCTAAGGCACCGGCCTAAACCAGCGCCTCAGGTCCTGTGCCGGGCGGCGTGAGTGTCTCTGTATCAGGCGTTCCGCTTCCTCCTTCTTTAACAAGATGGATTCGGCGAAATGAATATGTTTTAAAATAATTTTTAGATATTGTGAAAATCGATTAAAATTTTTTTAAATAGTTTATTTATTTTATTTATTATTTTAAAGTTAAATTATTGTATATTCATGTTTACCACTTCAATGTTAACCCTTTGCTACACCCGCCATTTTTTTAGCTTCGACGCGAAGCTGAGAAGGTATTAATTTTACTATGTTGTGTCTGTGAACGCTCAATTTCAGCGCTCGCTGGACCGATTTTGATGAACAATATGTCAAAAGATCACATATCGTATCTAGTTGAAGACATTATCCTCAAAAATTGAAAAAAATTCCCTCGTTCGCCGTAAACGGGGAAAACCCCCAAAAAATTACAAATCTAAATTTGCTAATTTTCGAAATTTTTTCATTTTTTTTTTACTTAAAATTGCCATAACATTTTTAAAAATGACCGAATCAATATAATTTTTTTTTTTATAGATACCTTATATATTTACCTATAATAATATATATTTTTGTGAAGATTTGACCCTTTAGCAGCCCACAGGAAGGGTTTCAAAATGGTAACTTTTTTACAAAAAATTAACTATTTCAACTTAACTTATGAAAATGTTCCGGAAAGTCTGTCACTTTTATATATACCTTAAATTAAAGCTAATGTAATATACTTTAATTTGAAAAAAAAAATGTTGACCTCTGGACTTGTCTTCATGGTGAAAATGACTACCGTATACAAAAATATGCTTAAAATGTTATGAACTTTAAGATTTAAGTAGACTTTTATTATGCTTTTTAAACTTAAATATTTCAATATATAAATAAAATAATTATTTATTATTATATAATTAGTATGTAATGGCTCTAACAATAAAAAGAAACTATGTTTTAAAACAATAGTCCATAAATTTGTATATTTAAGTTAACATATATGTTGAATAAACATAATTTTTTTCTTAAATTAAAAGTCAATGTAAAACATAATATGTTCTTGTTGTTCGACTAAATATTTATAATTTTTAATATCTACCAAAAAAAAAAAATATAGAATAATACTTGATTTTATATTTCTAAGCATACTTTCATTTTTAAAATAATAACAAATATATGTGACATATGTAATTTTTATGAATTTAATAAGTTAAAATTTTTTTCTTTTGAAAACTGTAATCTCACACATACATAAAATTGCATAGAATTACTGTCATTTATAAAAATAAAATAATAAAACCCAATATTTAAGATTGAACAAATAATATTCAGACATAGCAATTTAATATTATCCAAGCAATACTTTTCTCATCATTTTGCTATCAGTACTATCATCACATACATTACTGTTATTAACAATGCATTTTGATGAACATAAATATTGCAGCAATGGAATTCTGTACTTTCCACAAAAATCGACAAATTTTATATGCTCTACTCGATCGTCAAAAAATACACCTATAATATAATTAAATATTTTTTTAATTATAACGTTTATAATTTTATAATATACTTAAAATAAAAACCCTGTGCAGTTTAAACAAAGTTTTGTGTGAACCTTTAGTTTGAAATCAGACAGTGGTTAAAATCACAATCATAAAACTCATCAATTTTTCGAACATTTTTTTGTTGATTATTTTTTAGTACGATTTGAGTTTTTAATTTATTATAAGCCATTGGTTGGTAGAACACATCTTTTTGGAAGGGGGAACTCATATACATATATTTATATCGTTTATATTTCTTTGTGATCCTTCATTGAAAATCTTTGATATTTTAATTGTTCAATATATTTGCTTAAGATGCCATTGAAATGAACAAAATATATGGAGCCATTATATAGATAAAATATATAGATAATATATATGTCTTTGATTTTTTAAAATTCATATTATTATCATATTATATGAATTAAAACTTACTAACAAATTGACTAGGATCAGCGATAACACACGAAGTTAACCTCGAATAATTTGAGGTTTCAATAAAGATATAGAATATATTATTATACGATTGCATTTATAGTACAAATTTAAAAATCGCTAATTTTCGAAATTTTTTCAATTTTTTTTTACTTAATACTGTCATAACTTTTTGAAAAATGTATGGATCAATATAATTTTTAGCTTCGATGCAAAGCTGAGAAGGTAATGGTTTTACTATGATGTTTTTTTTTTTTTTTTATGTCTGTTGCCATTTTTTTTTAGCTCTTAATAGACCGATTTCTTTCAACAATACGTCAAAAGATCACAAATCGTATCTAGTTGAAGACATTACTCTTAAAAATTTAAAAATTTTCCCTCGTTCCCCGCAAATGGGGGAAATATCCAAAAAAATTACAAATTTAAAAATTGACAAATTTTGTCATTTTTTTCACTTTTTTCTCTTAAAACTTCCATAACTTTTTCAAAAATCAACAAATTAACATAATTTTTTTTTATACTAAAACCTTAAATATTTCCCTTTCATTTGATATAATTTTTTTGAAAATCTAACACTTAACCTGCTCATTGGGGGGAATTTAAAATAGCAATATTTGTACAAAAACTAACTTTTTCAACTTAACTCTTGAAAATGTTCCGGAAATACTGAGTCCTTTAAACATATGTCAAATTAAAGCTTATGTCATGTACATATAATATTAAAAAAAAAATTTATCCCGACGACCTATCTTCTATGCACAAATGGCTACCGTATTCAAAAATATGCTATTTTTTAATTAAAATTTGGGTCTTGTATTTTATTTTATTTTAAAATATCTTATTAGGGGAATACACAGACTTTCATGAATATTATATAATTTAATTAACATAGAATAAAATTCATAAGACATAAGAAATTAAACTTATTAAATTTTTTTTACTTTTTTATTTTCATACTAAATTTAACAATTATAATTAGTATTTATTCATATATTATATTTTAAAATCAAAGAAATAAGAGTTGATGTTGCTTTTGGAATAATTCACCAATTTCTCTGAATGAAACACTATCTACAGATATGCATTGAAGCGTTGTTTCTTATGATAGTGATTTTAATCACTGTCAAATATCATCTATACTTGTCCCATCTATGCTTGTCTACACTGTGCCTCGACCTCACTGTGCTACCGTTTTTTTAAATTTGAGGTAACTTAAATAACCAATTTTTTCAAGGGACGAAAGCAATGAACAATTTCTGAATCGGTAACACTTGTGTCTTTCATGCTAACGGTACAAGGTTCAAATCCATCTGTAGCAATTAATATTTTGCATTTTTTTTGAGTTAGAATAAAATGTTTAAATAATTTGATATTTATTTCATTTAGATTTAATAACTTCAATAAATATAAAGGATTCTATCACTATAGTCTCCCCTCGTGAGAAGAAATTTATATTCATGTTAATATTATTTTACTATGTGTTTCTTTTTGTGGGTACGATTTATTTTGCCAAACCTATCTTTACCTACTATTTCAACGATTCGTCAAGTTATTACAATTCGTATTTAGTTTAAGTTATTACTCTTAAAAATCGAAATAATATACCTTATTCAAATAAAAAGTAGCTTAACCAGTTTTTTCCAAACAAACAATTAAAATCATTTATTTCTAATATTTTTAAAGTATTTATTGTCTAATTAAATTTGATATGATAAAAGTATTCAACTACAAAAGTAAATAATTTTACTTTCTAATTTATTAATTTTTTAACTCTATTTGTGTGTGCTACTATTAGACTATAATATTCTAAATTTGTTGGTAACATGTTGCTATACAAATCATTTCTAAAAAAAATTACTGTTAGTTTTTCCGAAATTAACAATGGATTTTTACAATTATAATCAATTTTTATAATAGGCGAAATTGAATAACTTTTTTTTTATTGGTTTTTTTAGATATATAATCATTAAAATTAATTAAATTCTTAATATTTCCATTGTAGAATCTTTTTAAACGCCAAAAGTTAATTAGAAATGATTTCTATGATTTTTATTTAAGTGATCTATTATGATAAAAATGTAAAAAAATCTAACTTTTCCGATAAATGTACTGTGTAAATAGTAATTATAAAATTCCCTGATTGCATATTAATCTTATCACTTTCATTTTTTTCTATTTAAAAATGTCAATTTCAAACTGTTATGTTATGGTAATAAATAAATTTTTTTTTTAAATAAAACTTTCACTTTAAAGGACAATAAAAAGTAGGTTCAAAATTATTACTTTTAACATATTAATAATTAAAATCAATAATAATTTGAAAACAATTAATTAAAAAATTATATAATATATAATTAAAAGAATTACTAATCTGGGTATAATTAAGGAAATAGAAGTTGATGTTGCTTTTGTAATTTCCATCAATTTTTTAAAATTAAACACCATCTACAGATTTGCATCGAAGCGTTTCTTATGATAGTGATTTTAATCACTGTCAGATTAATTCTATACTGGACCCAACTATGCAACGTCTCCACTATGCCGCGACCCCATTGTGCTGGTTTTTTTATAAGAAATAATATTTATATCCCTATTTCATTCGACATACTTTTTTTTTAAATAACACCATTTCCCTATATACAAAGGGAGTTTAAATCTAAAAAAACATATAGAAAATAGAACTTTTTCAACTTCATATTTATTATTCCGGAAATACTGACACTTATATATATATATATCTTAAATTAAAGATAATGTAATGTAATTTATTATGGAAAAAAAAATTCGGACTTTATTTTGTTTTTATGGCGAAAACAATCATCAAAGTTAATAGAAAAAAAAACGGTAGCACAGTGGGGTCGCGGCATAGTGGAGACATTGCATAGTTGGGTTCAGTCTAGATTTAATCTGACAGTGATTAAAATCACTATCATAATAAACGCTTCGATGCAAATCTGTAGATAGTGTTTAATTTTAAAAAATTGATGGATAATTGCAAAAGCAACATCAACTTCTATTAAAATAAAATACAAAACCCATAATTATCATACAAAAATAGTATATTTTTCAATATGGTAGCCATTTGCGTATAGAAGATAGATCGTCGGGACAAATTTTTTTTTTTCATTTTGTAGTACATAAAATAAGCTTTAATTTTATATATGTTTAAAGGACGCAGTATTTCCGGAACATTTTCAAAAATTAAGTTGAAAAAGTTATTTTTTGTAAAAAAGTTACTATTTTAAATCCTCCCAGTGAGCAGAATAAGTGTTAGATTTTCAAAAAAAATTATATCAAATGAAAGGGAAATATCTAAGGTTTCAATACAAAAAAATATTATTTTTATTTGTTCATTTTTGAAAAAGTTATGGCAGTTTTAAGTACAAAAAACATCCCGATAAAATGTAATTTTTATCGCAAACATTACATTTTTTTTTAAATTTTCGACAGCCATTTGCACATAGAAGATAAGATGTCGGGACAAATTTTTTTTTTTCATTTGATAGTATATAACATAACCTTTGATTTGATATATGTTTAAAGGACGCAGTATTTCCGGAACATTTTCAAAAGTTCAGTTGAAAAAGATCTATGTTTTTTACAATATTTTAAGTTTTGAACGCCCCCTATATAAGGGGAAATTGTCCAATTTTAATAAAAAGTATGTCAAATGAAAGATGTACTTATAATGTATTTAGAAAAAAAAAATTTGTGCTGATATATACATTTTTCAAAAAGTTATAGCATTTTTAAGTTGAAAATTTAAAATCGAAAATCGAAAATTTTAACACAAAAATAGTGTTTTTTTAACTACGGCAGCCGTTTAAATGTAGAAAAAAAAGTGTCGGGACAAATTTTTTTTTTTCATTTTGTAGTACATAAAATAAGCTTTAATTTGATATATGTTTAAAGGACGCAGTCTTTCCGGAACATTTTCAAAAATTAAGTTGAAAAAATTAATTTTTGTAAAAAAGTTGCCATTTTAAATCCCCCCCAATGAGCAGGTTAAGTGATAGATTTTCAAAAAAATGATATCAAATGAAAGGTAAATATCTAAGGTTTTAGTATAAAAAAAAATTATGTTGATTTGTTGATTTTTCAAAAAGTTATGGAAGTTTTAAGAAAAAAAAGTGAAAAAATTTCGAAAATTAGCGATTTTTAAATTTGTAATTTTTTTGGATATTTCCCCCATTTGCGGGGAACGAGGGAATTTTTTTCAATTTTTAAGGGTAATGTCTTCAACTAGATACGATTTGTGATCTTTTGACGTATTTTTGAAAGAAATCGGTCCAGTGAGAGCTGAGAAAAAGTGGCAACAGACATAAAAAAAAAAAAAAAAAAAAAAAAAAAAACACATCATAGTAAAATTAATACCTTCTCCGCTTCGCATCGAAGCTAAAATACGATTTTTGTAAAAATATTTTTTTTCATATTTTTAACTTTAAAAACGTTATAACTTTTTGAAAAATGTATGGATTAATATAATTTTTTTATGAGAAATAATATTTATATCCCTCTTTCAATCGACATACTTTATCTTAATTAGGATATAAATAAGGAAATAGTAGATCATTTAGCTTTTGGAATAATCCATCAATTTTTTAAAATTAAATACTATCTACAGATTTGCATCGAAGCTTTTTATATGATAGTGATTTGAATCACTATAAGATATCATTATACTTGACCCAATTATGCTACGTCACCACTTTGCCACGACCCATCTGTGCTGGATTTTTTGTTATTAATAAAAGAAATGATTTTGAAATTTTTTTTCAATAGAATAATACTTTAAACATAAGCAACTAAACTACTGGCAAAGTAATTATATTATTGAAAATAATTTTTATTTTAGTAACATAATATTTCTTGATTTATCAGTTAATATTTATTTTTTCTTATCATTCCTTATAACTTACAGAGATGTCAACCTATTTTTTTGGAAGAGTAACATAATTATCAAACTAGATTACATAGTAAAAATAAGTTTTAATTAAGAAATAACGGGTCGATAAGATTTTTTTGATCAGTACTTGGAAAGTTTTTAATATTTGTATAAATGGGCGAGAGGAAAATTCCGGCCAAGATATGTCTAATAATATACTATACTATTATCTAGTCATACTCACTCTTCTTTACCTATCTATATTTATCTTAAAATGGCTACCAAATACTATTTTTGTGTGAAAATTCTCGATTTTATTTTTTACATTTTTAATTGTATAATGCTATAACTTATTGAAAAATGTATGGATCAACACAATATTTTTATGAGAAATAATATTTTTATAATAGTCCCTCTTTCATTCGACATACTTTATCTTAATCAGGATATTAATAAGGAACTAGAAGATCATGTAATCTTTTGGAATAATCCACCAATTTCTTAGAATTAAACACTATCTACAGATTTACTTCGAACCGTTTTTTATGATTGTGATTATAATTACTGTCAGATATCATCTATACTAATCCCAACTATACCATGCTCACACTGTTCCATGACCCCCCACTGTGCTACCGTTTTATAAATATGTCTTACCTTTACATTTTGGATTTACACAGTGATGGGCACTGCTTAAATATTCGATTAAGCTGTGAGGTAAATCTCGTTCACCATACGGTACGTTGTTTATTTTTATTATTCTTGCAGAAAGTTCTAGCAACGTAGGAGGATTATGTGTCATGTCACTGACAAATCTCACCACCAATGGATTATCTCTTAAGCTTAACTAAATAAATAAAATATATTGTTATTAATTTACAGTGTAAAAATATGATAACAATAGTTTTTTATTAACTTGAGAAACATGAGCATCTAATTAAGGGAAAATAAATGAAATTACTTTCTTCAATAGAAATTAAAAAAAAAAAATACTCCCTTATATAAGTTGTTAGTCAAATGACAAACAATATGCATAAAAAACATGATCGAGAAAAAATTTAGAAAAAAATAATTTTCAGTAGTGTTTTTAAGTTAGAAACGTCATTTTCATGACGTTTATATTCATTTTATTTAAGACTTAAAAAATAAAAGAGCATATACTTCAGCAACCAAAAACGTCCTTTTTAATCCGCTATTGAGTAAATCTTTATTAAAACTAACATTGTATGATCATTAAATTATAAATTAATGTAAGCTAAATTGTACATCTCATTATTGCATTATTAATGCCAATCAAATACTAATAATTCAAGAAAAAAATTTTCTTCGAAAAACGCTCTTTTTGTTTCTAATTGACTTAATTACAAATTGATGTAAAGTTTACAGTTAAAAAACATATTTTAATTCAGTCAAATGTTCATAATTTTGTTGGCTGAGACAGATAAAACAATGAAGTGTTACGAGTTTTAAAAAACTTAGTAAGACGTATCAATGTTCACTATAAATTACTCATTTTATCGTCTGAGCATTGGCTATTATTACTTTAATCGTAATTATCTACAAATATTATATAAACAATCATAAAGTGTTTAAATAAAAGGTAGTTTAATGTTATTCATGGTTATCTGTTATTAAAATGCTTGTTATTTGTTAATAATTATTATGTTTGTCAGTTGATTAGCGGAACAATGAATTCGTAGCACCAGTGGAAATGATTTTAACATGAAATAATGCATCATTGATAATTTTAACTTAAATAACAGTTAATGTTACCTAAACAAAATATTGCACTCACTTTATTAATATCTCGCATCTCTTTTGTAGTAAGAAGAGAGAAAACAAATTTTTAATTAGTTAACATTGCTAAAAAAGACCAATAATGAACAAGCGAAGTAATATAAATGGCTGAGTGTTATTTCTACATTTATAAATTGAAACTGTAAATAAATTATTGTTTAAAATTAAAAAAACATTTAAAATATTAATTTAAAAACAAAAAATATAATAAATAACACAAAAGTAACTAAAAAAACTATAAAAATAACAAAAAAAAAAAAATTGCGTAAATGTATTTTAGGAGCAATGTTACTGTAATCAACGTTAAATATATACTACCATCCCAACCGAAAAATACTCCCTTAAATACTCTTGAGTATAAGAGAGTTAAATACTGTTCAGTTTTAAATTATTATTTTAATTTTAAATAATATTAATAACAAGTAATCAATCCTTAATATAAAATAACTGTTTACCTCTGAGAGGCACTTCAATGATACAATTTCTACAGGCAGAGTGCGAAGTCGATTTTTGTGTAACATTAATGATTTGAGATTCTTAAGATTAGCAATAGATTGTGGTAGACTTTCCAGTGAATTATGACTCAAATTTAAAGCTTTCATATTGTCTAGTTGCCCTAAAGTTACTGGAACGTCTGATAAATTATTTCCTCCCAAACATAAGAATTTCAGTCTAGAAAAAATACTTAATGAATTTATGTATTAACATCAAAATACGTATTTTATTAAATGTCATTAATAGTTTATTTTATAAGTATATAATATACTTTCCTTTGGAATTAAAAATATTTTAGTTTAGACTTTTAATATCTACTAAAATGATCTGTATGAGAAACATTAAAAGTAACGATTACTTTACAAATAAATGTATAGCTGAATTATTACTTTTTTCTTTAAGTAATTAAAAAAAACTATGAATAATAATGGGTATATAAAAATTGTTTTTAATTACATTTAATATATTTTTAGTATTTTTCTTTTGTACTTTAATAACAATTAATTAACTTTATTATAAGGTAACTGTATTATGTATTACATTTCTATGTTTTGATTTATTAGTATTTTTAGATTTAATAATTAAAAAGGTTATATTAATTTTTCTATTGAATTTTATCATAATCATATAATTGTAACTTTAATTTATAATGTATATAAAAATCAAAATCAATTACCTTCTTAAAAATATCATCAATATACAAATACCTTTTTTTTTCATAAATTTAATTAGAAAAGAATATAATTATATTTTTTACGACATTAATGTTATTTTTGTATATTAAATTGTTTACCATAATATTTTAAGAAGTATTTTAATCTTATAAATGCAAATAATTAATCAATTTATCAAAAATATTTGCTTAATAAATGTGTTCGTAACTGTTCTTTAATACCTTATTAATCTATCAATGTCCTTCGGAATTTCAACCAAGTGGTTGCTACCCATATATAAGTATTCGAGGGAAGAAATCATTAATATTTGATCAGGGAAGTGGATCAGACGGTTACCACTAATGTTTAGAACTTTAAGTTGCGATTCAAACGTTTTTGGGATGCCTTCGTCATCAATCAGATTGTTCTTGGCTATAAGCGTATGAAGTGGCAACCGGACTATAAATTCAGGTATAGAAGTTATCCGGTTGTTACTTATGTCCAAAACACGTAAATGCTGAAAGCGATCAATGATCTGTGGTAAAGCAACTATCGTATTATGATTTAATAAAATCGTATCAATAGTTTCAGGTCGGCTATGAACACACACGTCTTCGAGATGTTTCTGGATGGAATGAGAGTCCAACATCAGATAATTGAGATCCATAGTCTTCACTAACTTGTCAGCAGGTGGTACATCGCTGTCGCTGCTTTCCGAAGTCGAGCCGTAGTATTTATTAAACATGATTTAAATATTTTTTAACGTTACACAATGAGCTAATTATTCGTGCAAAGTAAACCCAGAGAATAACTCTTAACGATTTAATTTGATGTTAATAACGTGATTACCATAAGTGTTTATTAAATAGACATGAAGTGTTTCTGCAACTGACATTAAGTCTGTAAGCGCGACGCACAACTAACACGCTGTTACCGATGGGAGTAAAAAACGTGCAAGTAAACTAATTAACATATCAATATTCAGTGTCGTCACATTTGTTATCTTTGCAATGAACTCGAACGTTATCGACGAAGTGTTACTCAATAGTATAATTGTGTAAATTTTTAGACTTGAGTTCAAAAATTGTAAATTATAATATTCAAGGCAAAATAAATAATGATATTTTAACGATAATTTACTGTAATCATATTGTGCTTAGTTTTATAAGTATGGAGAACATTTAAATATTTTTAGATACAAAAGAAAAAATTTAGATCAATGGTTCAAATTTTATTTGAATTAAATATTACACTGTATTATATGTGAGTTAGTTGTATTACTATACGATTAACTCATATTAAAGGACAAAATTAGGCAAAATTTAATTTTTTTTTTTGTATACTAATACTTTTTAGGCGAAGAACAAACTTTGGATTTCTTTTTAATACTGTGAGTTTAGGTGAAACAGTGTTTTATTTATCTATCTTCAAAAATATTACTAAGAATTTACCATTTATTGATAAAATTGTTAGGTGAAAATTTAACCAGGTTACCTTGACATGAGTGTGTAAAAATGATGTATTTTGAAAGCAATATATAACTTAGTTTAAGTATTATTATACATATATTACAGAAATTAATTGATAAAATTTACCAAACATGACAATAAAAATATTAAATTCTAGGGTAAGACGTGGTAAGAATACAAATTTAGTATTTTTAAAAATCAATCACATATATTAGCACGTTCTAATTACCGTAAGTTTCGTATAGTACACAATGATATAAGCTAGTCAAAATATACCTGCGTGCTAGTTAATTTTAATTGTGTTAAGAAATTTAACATATTTTAATACAATTTTTGAACATAAAAATATTAAATATTAGTATTCTAAGGACAATTTTAATTTCACATTTTAATATTCTAAAACTACTATTTAATAGCTATAAAATCTTAAAACATCCAATTTTTTTATAATGGTTCTGGTTAAAATATTTTATAATCTTTTAAATTATTTTACACCATAACTGAGGACAGATGCCAAAAAAGAGAAATTTTAAGAGAACTCATATTTTACTTCTTAGACTGAAAACATATGTAGTTTTAGGCTAGATATACAGAGTAATTGATTTATCATAATATCACAATAAAACTCAATTACTCGCAAAGTAAATACAATATTTGAAAAAATTTTTTTTTTTTTATTACAAGTAATATATATTTGAGACGACCTTGCGGTCTTAATCAAATTTTTTTATAAACGTTTACATCTAAAATTACATAAAATGTATAGTTAAGATATTATACACAATGAAGGAGAGAAACTTCCAGTGAAGAGTCTCCAAACTTCAGTAAATTTACATTAAATAATATATATTTACAATAAGTCGTATGGTTTATTTTTTTTTAATCTTCTAACATCTTGTGAGTAATTAAACAGTTGAGAAGCAGCTTTGTTGACGTGGGTCTTCAGACGATTTTCATGTGCCCTGACATACCGTTGAATTTCTTCTCTGACGGTTGGTATCATCATATCCTTATGAATATTGTCATTTTTTTCGTACATGTACGCATTTGTAATAGTACGGAGAGTAATGTTTTGCATAGTTTGAATTTTATCAATCTAAGACTTGCTAGCACAGCCCCATAGTTGAATGCCGTAAGTCCATATTGGTTTTAAGATAGATACATAAAGTAATCTTTTATTTTCTATTGATAATTTTGATCTCTGACCAATTAACCAATACATATTACTTCTTTTTTGTTTTATTTGTTTTAATTTAATTTTAATGTGTATACTCCAGTTTAATTTAGAGTCTAAATGCATACTTAGATATTTTGCCGACTTTTCTTGTGGGATTAATTTAACATCAAGCATTATCGGGTTGGGCTTTGTTACTCTATTTGTAAAGTTCACGTGTACTGATTTTGAACTATTTAATAGTATCTTCCATCTTTTTGTCCATGTAAGGATACTATCAACATTTATTTGCAAATTTTTTGTGGCGATCGAAAGATTTTTATCACATGACAATATAGCTGTGTCATCAGCAAACATAGCTGTTGTTGTTTTATTGTAGGTAGGAATATCAGAAGTATAAAGTAGATAAAGTATAGGCCCGAGGACATTACCTTGAGGTACCCCTGCTTTAATACCTTTCCATTCAGATACAGCTTCTTCGTGACTTACCCGAAACTGTCTTTCTACTAAGTATGAATCTAGTAGCCTACACAATGTACGAGGCAACTGCTTTTTCAATTTATATAGTAAGCCTTAATGCCAAACGCGGTCAAAGGCTTGAGAAACGTCGAGAAAAACGCCACAGCAATACTTTTTTTTCTCCATAGCTCTACTAATTACGTTTGTAACGCGATGTACTTGATCTATGGTGAAATGTTTAGTACGAAATCCAAACTGGTGGTTAGGAATTAGTTGACGTTCTTGAATAATAGGATTCAATCTAATGTAAAGTAGTTTTTCGAAAAGTTTCGATATTGTAGGAAGAAGTGATATCGGCCTGTAGGAACTAGTACTCATAGGCAGCATTCCTGGTTTTAATAACATGATGACTTGTGCTTTTTTCCAATTTGCAAGTACATATTCTATACGTAAGCAGGCAAAAATATGTAAGTTAATAAGATGATTGCTTTGCGAGATAATTCTTTAATTATACGCGGATTTATCCTATCATAACCCGGAGACTTTTTAGACTTAAGATTTTTATCTATATCATTTGCAACTTCAAGAGGCGTGAAATATTTAATGCGATCTGTAGTTTGATCTGTGATATCGTAGTTTAAGTACGTCGTGTTTAAATCAGATTGTGTGTTGTTAGGTTGAAATACATATTCCAAGTAACTTGCAAAAGTTTCAGATATTTCCTGTTTGCTTCGAGCCCATGTATTATCATCCTTTAAAATTGGTGGCACATATACTTGAGTTCTTTTCATACGTCTGGTTGCTTTCCATAACGAGTAGTCTGTATTTTCTGTTACAGATAAATTATCTATATATGCTTTAAAAGTTTCATTTTTTATTGAGAACATTTTTTTTTTTTTAGGATTTTGTTGAGTCGATTCCAGTCGCTTTTGTCAACTGGATTTTGTGTTCGATGCCATTTTTTCCTTGCTTTTATTTTAAGTTGAATTAAGTTTCTTATCTCTAAAGGATAAGTCTTTTCTTTTTCGAACATAACTTCATTATTATGTGTAGATTGTTCAGCAGCTATAATTATGTTATCTGTTAAATTCTGTACAGCTATCTCTATGTCACTTGTAGATTTGAGTTTAACTGACAAGTCAATTCTTATGTCTAAATGGTCACGAAAAGTGTTATAATTCAAAAATATAAATAAAATCGGTAAAAAGTTGGTAAAATATAAATGATGAAAATGAGCGATGGGTATAGTGAGAACCTGATGTTGTGGTTCTATCGGGGTCGTATGGTTCGAGGGTTTAGAACGACAAAGACAAGTAGATATAAAAATATATATTAAGTTCCTCTTATAGAGGTAGAATAAACTTTTGTCTGGTTAGTTTCTAATGTCCTAACTAAGAGGCAACGAAACGGCGAAGCCAGTTCACGAATACCTCGGCAACGAGACGGCAGAGCCAGTCCACGAATACCAGAGCCTAATTTATACAGTAGAAATCACGCTAGGTTTTTTAAAACATCTTTAAGGCAACGAAACGGCAGAGCCAGTTCACGAATACCATATAACGTGATTATGTATAATTTCTTTAACCAACCAGTCAAAATTGACACTTTAAGATATTAATTTAATAAATGATCTATTGCTTTGTCATCCTTTACTCAAATTTATTAACTCCAAATAATTGGGATAACATAAAATTACTTACTTCTTTTATTCTTGTAAATTGCTTGTAAAATGATTTGATAAATATCTCGATATGTTTATATAAGTTTAAAAGTATTTAATTCGCACTTCTTCAAAAGATAAATAATTAAAACAAGTTCTTTTAATATATAAATAAAACGCGTAAAAGTCAGCCGACAACAATACAGGGCTGTGACTGATAAATTGTTACTTTTTTTATTCTTATTTCAATTCGAAGAAAACGAACTCTTTTGGTCGCTGTCACTTCTTCTTTTTTTCGTCTTTCTGGAGTCTTTCCCTGACTCTCTCCGACTGAAAGGATTTCTGTGTTTTTTATAGTAAAATGATATTACCCCCAATCCAGGGATATTGTTGTCAGCGCTTTTAGTAATCTTTTTAGTTTATTGTATTAATTATGCATTACAGGATTATTATATTCAGATAACATATTTAACAATTGATAAATTGACATATATATATAAATAATAAGAAATTGTGTTGAACATCATATTTGTTATGACAGATAAATTATTTGTTTGTTTACAAGTTATTTAAAATACAGATTATACATTTTTCATTAATAATTGGAAGATGCGTAATGCAAAGCATTGAGCATATTACTACAAAAGTTTCCCAATTTGTGTGTTTATTTATGAGCACAGGACATCTTTGTTTTTTTATTACGTGCGAACTTAGTATTAAGAGCACTGGTATATAGTCTGACGTTAAGTCAGGTATTCCTTCAATATTAGTATAATTTGAGTTCGCGCCTTTAAGTACAAATATATCAAGCATACTAGGTCTTTTCGTTTGATTATTAGGCCAGTATGTTGGCTTACAAGTTGTTAGATATTCTACATTAATTTCAATGCCGGCTTCATAGAGCTGCTTACCTCTACTGGTACTATTATCGCTACCCCAAAAGCGGTGCTTACAATAGAAATCACCACCTGCGATGAATCGGTCACCTAGGGCTCGGAACAAACTAATAAAATTTTCTTTAGTTATTTGTCTTGAAGGAGGACAATATACTGCTGAGACTGTTATATTATTACGGCCGTCATTAATACAAACATTAGTAGCTTGAATTGCTTCGTGCTGAAATTTTTCAAGTTCAAAGTGTTTAATAGATTCTTTTATGATTATTGCTGTACCCCCCGTGCTCTACCACTCGGGTGTTGTGTTGTGTATGATCTATAACCAAAAATTTTTATAAATAACCAGTCAGTAAAATGAGTTTCTGATATAAGAGCTATATCTATTTTTTCGTTGTATAAAAATGTTTGTAGTTCTTTTTTTCGTTGAATAAGCCCATTGACATTCCAGGTTATTATTCTTAACGAATTACTAATTTTTTGTTTTTCTTAGTCATTTTTTGTTTTTTAGTTGATTTAGGCTGATTATTTTTCAATTTATCAACGTCTAATGTTAGTTTGGCTAATATTTGGGTAACACTATTTAAGGCTAATAATACATCGCAAAGTGATGGCTAAGCTTGTAATGATGTTCTACTTTCGACCTCTGTCTCGGTATTTGTTTTGGTTGCTTGTGCGTAAGAAATACCACTTTTTAAATTTGTATACGCTTTTGACTGTATGCGTTGGACTGCAGTCACCTTTTTTGGATTAGCTTTTGCTTCAGCTGCTTTATAAGCCGAACAGCCTATCCAATTGGCTGTATGATTTTCACCACAGTTTGCACATATTGCTTTAGTCTTTTTAGACTTAGTACAAGCTTCGGATTTGTGTTTTTCACCACATTTTACACATATTGGAGTTTTGTGGCAGTAGTTTTGTGTGTGGTTAAAAGCTTGACAGTTTTTACACTGTAGTACTTCTTTCTTTTTATTCCTCGGGTGCTCCACTTGAATCTTGTGATAGCACAATTTATCTACCTGACAGATGTCTTTATTGTTTGTTTGTGGTTCGAACTCTACAAAAAACAATGGCAGTCTAATGTGTATCCAATCACTGTTTTTGTTATTTTGATCTTTTTTATTTTTTATTTGAACATTTGTAATATTATGAGCCAGGTGACCTAAGTAAGATAACTCTCTTTTAATATCACAAATGTCAGTCTGAAGATGTAAACCTCTAATCACAGCTTTAAATATTTTTTCAGTTTTAAGCTGGTATCGATAGTATTCAATATTTTGCTTTTCTAAAATGTTCACTGTTCGACGAAACTGATGTTCATCATTCGTTAAAACCTTAATATCACCATTAGCTAAGATTCTGACAAGTTGTTCAGTATCCTTAGCCTCTTCTAATGTCAAGTTGCTAATAAACTTTTTTACGTCGGTAACACCACATACTGTTATGGGTTGGGTTTGGTTTACGAATTTTGGCGGAAATAATCGCGATTTCCTTTGATAATTGAATCGTTTTCTTAGGTAAGCTCATAATTACATCAGAGTTTCCTTGATTCATTTCAAAAAGTTTTTTTTGTTATTTTTCATTGCTCTCTCGCAGTTCCGCGACTAGTTTTTTTAAAATTTCATTATCAGCTTGCATTTGTTGTAAAATACTTGAGCTGATATTTACGTTAGCATACGGTTAATTGCTATAAAAATAACCTAGCCAAACTAGGATCCTCATAAGTTGTTTTAATATTATTATTCAGTTTTTCAAGAGAAGAAACAATAATTACGTTTTTTTTATCTTTATATAAATTTGAAATTATTATGTCAACAAAGCAACATTAGTTGCTCATATTTTTCTTAAATTATTAAAAATCTACATAAAAAATAAATTTATTTTTATATTAAACAAATTTTAAATTAATATGTATAATATATATATATATATATGCATTTTGTATCATAATAAACATAATAGTATAAAGTAATTGTTTGATCCAAATTTAATTACCTTAGTAGAAATAAAATGAATAAATATTTTACAGTTATGGTTAAATTTAAATTGTCTCTATTAAATATATATATATACAGGGTGATTTTTTTATCATAACCCACTCAATTACTTACAGAATAATAATAATTTAAAAATTTTTTTTTATTATTATCTTTAGTTACACATTATTCTTGAATTATTAACTATGTAATACTTTTTAAGTTCATCCCTTATGCCTGGTAAGGGTGTCAACTTTGTTTTTTTAAATGGTAACACATATTTTGAATTTAATAAAATATTTGAGTATTTAATTCAATAGTAAATGGCATTTGAATTTTTAATGAAACTTAATTTGTGTATTAGATATAATAATTTTTGAGTTAATATATAGGTATAATACACAAGGGATTACAAATACAGGTAGCTAATTGATTTTTTATGACATCGATATTAGCAGGTACACAGCATTGTTATTATCAATGATAGTAAGGTACATTGTTGTGAGTTTATAAATACACTAACTGANATTGTTGTGAGCTAATAAATACACTAACTGACAATTCAAAAAGTATATCTATTGATAGTCACAATTGATAATAAACAATCCGTGACTGTGATAGCAATATCATAAAAAACCAATTAGCTACCTGTTTTTGTAATCCCTTGTGTATTATACCTAAATATTAACTCAAAAATTTGAAACTTTAAATTATTATATCTAATAAACAAATTAAGTTTCATTAAAAATTCAAATGCCATTTACTATTGAATTAAAAACTCAAATATTTTATTAAATTCAAAATATGTGTTACCATTTAAAAAAACAAAGTATATATATATATTATCATGATAGTATGAAAAAAAATTTTTTAGATCATTATAGCACAAGAATTTACTTATTTTACTATTACTCAAAACGGCTTCAAAATTAATGGTAGAACAAAATATACCATATTATCGCTGCTGTGCAAGAAATAACCAAGTGAAAATTTTACTACTGTTGTATGTCGGTAGTGCCCCGACGTAGACACAAAAAGTAGTACACAAATTAACAAATATTTCTTGATGACGAGTTCGTCGTTTTAAGCTCTTCTTGAGTCCTCCCGTTGTATGCACTAGTCAGCCCCAATGCCTCCAATTAGTGAACTACTAAAGGGATAGAGTTTAGACCCGTCAGCACGGTCTAGCTAAAAAGTACCACACTGCAATGGCATGTCCAGAACTATTTTTAAGTTCAGTGCAGAATAATTTTACTCATAAATATTTAATGACTGAATATCATATTTTCATAAAAAAAAACCAGCACAGTGGAGTCATGGCATAGTTGGGTCCAGCATAGATGATATCTGACAGTGATTAAAATCACTATCATAAAAAGCGCTTCAATGCAAATCTGTATATAGTGTTTAATTAAAAAAAATTAATGGATTATTCCAAAAGCTACATGATCTCCTATTTCATCAATTATATTCTGATTACAAGTTTTATGATTTAGAAGTGTAATATATGAATAAATAAATATATATATTAATAATATATAAATATAAATAGTACTTATCTCACAACAAATATAATGATCCATACATATTTCAAAAAGTTATAGCATTATAAAGTTAAGAATATAAAAAGAATTTTTTACAAAAATTGTATTTTTTTTATTAACTTTAATGTCTGTTTTTTCATAATAAAGTATATTACATTAGGTTTAATTTAAGATATATATAAAAGTGTTAGTATTTTCGAAACACTTACAAAAGTTAAGTTGAAAAAGTTTTATTTTCTATATGCATTTTTAAGTTTTGAACCCCCCTTGCATAAAGGAAGAAATATATAAGTATTATTTCTCTTAAAAAATTATAATGATCCATACACTTTTCAAAAAATTATAGCGTTATAAAGATAAAAATATAAATATAAATTTTAAGATCGAAAATTTCAACACAAAAATAGCATACGGTAGCCATTTTCACCGTGAAAACAAAATAAAGTCCAAAATTTTTTATTAATTTTGGTAATGTTTACGTATGTCATTATTAGACGCGTCCAGTGGTTTTTATCAATTCAAACTATCAAAAAATTCTCGACAATATACAGCTTTTTCTACTGATACGGGACATTTTCAATTCAAAAGACTTCCAATGGGACTTAATAATGCTCCAGCAATATATCAGGTCGCTATGTGCAAAATTATGGGAGGTCTTACTTATAAAAATAATATTTGCTACTTAGATGATTGCACAGTATTTGGAAAATCTTTCAATCAATATTTATATTCATTAGATATAACATTACAGAGATTTAGACAGTACAATCTAAAATTGAAGCCATCAAAATGTAAATTCAGATACGAGGAAATACAAGTACTCGGTATGATGTGTGTTTGTGGGGCCACCTCCCAAAATTCCTCCTCCTCTCTTATCACATAAAAATTGGAACCTCCTCCTCCCACTTATTTAAAAAAAGCGTTATAGTTATAGGATAGTGTGATAAGTGTTTATCAGTGAAGCTATTTTGATAACAGATTATATAATTTCCGTTATTACATTATTATACTCATAGGATAGTGTGATAAGTGTTTATCAGTGAGGTTATTTTGATAACAGATAATATATATTATATTTATTATGATTTAATGTACGACACTACTGTTATTTGAGGAGTGTTACCTCCTCATTTTTTACATTTAAACGCCTGAAAGCAGCACCTTCTCCTCCTCCCACCAATAAATTAAATACGCCCTTAGTCAATAATTAATATAAAACACGGCTGAACTTGAAGAAATAATAGTATTGTGTTATCGTATTTAAGTGTCTGATTGTAATATGAACATGGCTGCAGGTGTGAAAGATGTTAAAATGACTATGCGTTATCCATCTCAACCCGACTTTGCTGTACTAGGAACTTCTGTATTCAATTTAAGTTTTGCAGAGAGAAAATTTATACACATCGGCTGCACATGGTTAAGCGACCGTTATTCTCCAGTGGTGATAATAATATCTCCAAGTATGTACTTTTGGATGGATATCGATAAATTTATTAATTTTTTACAATTAATCGATGAAGTTATTTCATTCATGGACGAATCGTGTAAATCAAAAATTTATTTGAATTCCGTTTTTAACATTGTAAAATCGAAATGTTTCTCAAAAAGTTATTTATCAATATCGGGTAAAGGCAGTGAAGAAGAAAAAATGGGGCGTATATCATTGACCGAAAAAAATCTATTTGCGTTGAAAGAAATGAAGTCATGTCTCCTGGAAGTAACCAAAGAGAAATACGAAACGTGCAACTTATTGTACACACAAAGTAAAGAAGTTTACGAAAAAGTAAAGGATTTGGTAATAAATAAGTTTTTAGTATTACCCGAAAATTTAATGTATTCCATCGTGAAAAGTATGGATATATCGTTATTGCCAAAGACATCAACAGCACTGTACAAAGAAATAGTTACCTTCGATTATAAATGTATCATTAAACGTATATGGGAACAATTCATTGAGGATTTCAAACATCAAACCAATCAGGATGTTAAGCAGATGACAAATGAAAATATAAGGTAGATATTTCACTAAATTGTTTATGCTAAAAATACTAAATAAAATTAAAATTTTTAGTAAAAACGATGACCAACAAGATCATTTGGAAAATCACAACGAAAATGTACAAGATGATAATGTTCACCGTATAAATAATGATTTATCTAATCCATTTAATGATCAAATTCAAATATGGGAAAATTGTAACGATTTATTTGGTTAACAAAATAAAAAAATATTATTAACAATAATTGTAAACAATTTTGAAATGATATAATTGTATTGTAAAACATTTTNTAAAATAAAAAAACAATAATAATTGTAAACAATTTTGAAATGATATAATTGTATTGTAAAACATTTTTTAATTAAAATAAAAATTATTATATATACTAACTGTTTGATAATTGATTAAAAAAATTTTCTATCAAAATAATATATACAATCAACAAATTTGTGAGATAAGAATACATAANTATATATACAAACAACAAATTTGTGAGATATATTACTATTGTATAACGTCTCATTCTTTATTGTGATATTAAACACACATTATTAAATGCTTTATGAAAATAAAATATGTAACTTATAGTTATAACTGCATACTTTATGAGTATATTATCAAGAAAATTTAATTTCTCACAAAAGCAGATACGATAAATTTAATTCATATTTCTATAACTCCAGTCATCGTTTCTATGATTACATATCACTTAAAAAGAAAAAAATTTAAATGCTGCTAGATAAGACAAAATGCTGAAATAATATTTTAAATGCATGTATATATAATACGCAAGTTGGTTATTTTATGATTTAAACAGTTAGCATTTAAATAACACATAATCAGCAAATTTTAAGACAAAAATATAACGAAGTAAATTTAAAAACTGATATATATCTCACAGTACCCATTCCAGCAATTGTTTTTAAAACGTCAACCAATTTTAAACCAATCGCAGTGTCAAAAGAAATGCTAATTCATCATTTTGAAATTCTACTGTAAGATTGTATAAGAGTATGTGTGATCACCACAGTCATTCGATCAAAAGCGTTATAACCAACATGTCATCACAAAGTATTAACAACGAAGAATTTTTACAAATTCTAAATAATATGAGAAGTGAACCGCTGTCTCCACTACTTAGCGAAGAAGAATTCGCAGATATAATAAACGAGATGAAAATTGAACCGCTTTCCCAAACAATGGTAAGTAATTTAAAAATAATTTTATTTATGCGATTATAATAAAATATATATATTTTCGCAGTCTCAAGAATTATTACCAGATTTTTGGAATATGGATGATTATTATTTAAATATAGTTAATGAAATAGAAAATCCTGCATCATATTCGATGATCGATGCGGGCCAACATCAAACTTGGTTAAATGAAACGGTATGTGTTTAATATTTTATATATATTTAAAAAATTTTCATGTTTTTATTATAATAATAGAATCAGTTAAATAATGAATCAGTTAATGAAAATTGTCTTTATCTCGGAGCACATCCATGGTTGAATTTTGATACGGAAGAAGATTTATTGGACCTAATAACACAGGGAACGTGGGTTGATGATGTAAAGACATCAGATTACCAAGAAATGATAAGTAAGTAAAAAAAAATTATAAATCTGTTTTAAATAGTAATAAAATTATTATCGTGTTTCAGAAGACGTTAGGAGTTGGAATAATGAATTTGACGACGAAGAATGTGCTCGAGAGACAGATGAATTATCACTAGCTGTATTCAAAGAATATGAACAAAAACATTGGAAAAAAAAAAAGTTAAATAACTATTTCAATAACAATAGTAATAAATAAATTTATAAAGATATTAATAATGTATAATATTGTAAATAAATTTAAGTTTAATCATTAAATGTAAAACATAAATAACTAAAAATTATAACTAATTATGTACAATAGTAATTGTTTTAAATTAAAAAAAATATTATACTTATATTAATTTTTTATTTCATAAATTAAACCACCTTGTGTACTTCGCTGGTCATAGCGTTATACTCGAAAATCTTATCATGTAGTATAAGACAATATGCTGATGTATCGTTTGGTATTGGAATTTTAGTTTCAANTGTATCGTTTGGTATAGGAATTTTAGTTTCGAATTCAATTCGAACGTCAACGGGAGCGCTCTTAATTTTTTCATTTTGTTTAGAACAATCGATAACAACTATAGGAGCGTTATCTTTAAATTCTTCTTTAGTCAAAATAGGATCACCGTTATCTATATTATAAAAGCTATCTTGAAACGATGAATTTGATATAANTCTTTAAATTCTTCTTTAGTCAAAATAGGATCACCGTTATCTATATTATAAAAGCTATCTTGAAACGATGAATACATTTGATATAATGCTGAATATTTATCATTATCGAAATCAATGTTTAAACTATCGTAAGGATATGATTCCGAATTCAAAAATACTTTGAGTGATATTAGAGAACAGTGATCGAATCTACTCATGTCAGGTGTTATTTTGTTTTTACGTTTAGTTTGAAATCCTATAATTACATATCTAGGTTTTTCCGTATGCGTTGATGTTTTAACGGCCCACGAATGTTTTGTAGTTTGTGGTAAATATGGTTGTTCAAATAATTCCCAACTTCTAAAAGCGATGTAAAGTGGTTTACGAGAATCTAAAGTCTTTAACAGTTTCAATCTGACACTGTCCTCTACGTTTATATGAGGCATTCTCCACATTATTTTCGAAATTTTTATTTTACCATTCGCTC